TTATCTAGGTTTATATTTAAATATAATTATCATCTGCATAGCAATGGAAATGTATGCCATGTTTCCTGATAATATTGCCTAAAGGGAGCATGTATAAAGTGAAGAGACTTGGTCCTAACACAGAGCCCTGTGGAACGCCATGACTAACTTCAGTGCATGGAAGGTTCATAATTAACATGAACAAATTGGAATCCCAATAACATGTTCAAGTCTCTGTAGTAAGATGCTGTGATCAGTGGTGTCAAAAGCAGCACTGAGATCTAAGAGGACAAGTATGGAGACAAGTCCTTTGTCTGAGGCTAGGAGAAGATCATTGGTGACTTTCACCAATGCAGTTTCTGTACTATGATGGACTCTAAAACCTGACTGAAAATCCTCAAACAAATCATTCTTGTGCAAGTGGTCACATAACTGCTTAGCAGCAGCTTTTTCAAGGGTTTTAGAAATAAAGGGGAGATTGGATATCAGTCTATTATTAGCTAGGACACCTGGGTCAAGAGTAGGCTTTTTGAGTAGAAGTTTGATTACAGCAACCTTAAAAGACTGCACAATATAGCCTGTTAATCAGATCTAATATGGATGTTTTGATTAGGGGCAAGACGTCTTTGAACTGGCTGGCTGGGATGGGGCCTAAGAGATATGCTGATGATTTAGATGAAGCAGTTGTTGAGGTCAACTCAGAGAAATCTAGGGGAGAGAAGTAGTCTAAGTATAAATGAGGTCTTACAGATGATTTTAAAGCCATTGTACTTGAATTTAGGTTGTAAAATAAAGTCATCTAGACCATCCAAAGTGGGATGGATGCCGTCTCTGCTAATCAGACCAGGTTTTCCCCAAAATGTTTTCTAATTGTTTTTGAAGTCCGTATTGTTTTCTGGACACCACCTAGACAACCACCTGTTGAATGACCACATACGGCTAAACATGTCATCATTGGTCCGGGCGGGCAGGGGTCCAGAGAAAACTAGAGAGTCCGACATTGTTTTGGCGAAGTTACACACCAACTCAACATTAATTTTAGTGGCCTCCCACTTATCGTTAGTCAGCAGCTTCAAACAGAATTCAATGTCGCTCACTCTGGCCCCAGGAATACATTTGACTATGGGTGCTGGTGTCATTAGCTTCATGTTTCTGACCGTGGCGTCACCAAGTGGAGTTGGCTTCTCAGAGGGTGTGTCACTAAGTGGGGAAAATCGATTTGAAACTTGGAACAGGCAGGTGATGAACTGTGGGTGTTTGTTTCGAGCTATGACTGTCACCCAGCCACCTGGCTGCTTGGGAAGTGCTGGGGGGCAGCTAGCTTGGGCTGAGCTACATCTAGGAGGCTCCATACCATCTACATGGGCTCGGATAGCTGGATTGTTTTCCATGCTACAGAGCTGTGCTTCCAGTTCGATGTATGGGGAATGTGTCAGATTTGTTTAGTTTTTTTAATCTCTGCTCTTTTTGTGTTTTTCCAATATAAGCAAAATAAGTAAACATGAGGATATCAAATACTTTGTGATTGCAGCAATTTTCTGGTGAAGTGGTGCATTATCTGACAGAAATGCATAGGTGCCAATATTTTTAGCCCTGACTGTATGTATATACATATATTTTAGTTGGAAGTTACTAGATAGATATATACAGAGGTGTCAGGGTTGGCGAGTTATGCTGCCAAAAAGTGTTTGTAGTGAACTCAATTATGAGGCCAGACGAAATGAGGTAGAGGATAATTGTGGCTTACGAGGTAGGGCAGTCATCTACTGACCAGCAAGTTGGTGGTTCGACTCCCGGTCTCCCCGCATGCCTAAGTGCAAGACACTGGACCCCAAATTGCTCCCGGTGGTTCGACTGGTGCCAATGTGCGGCAGCCTCTCGTCATTGGTGTGTGAATGTGTGTGTGAATAGGTGGATGTGTATGATCTCCTGTAAAGCACTTTGGCCAGTGTAACACACTGTGAAATATGCACTATATAAATACAGTCCATTTAGCATTTTACTAGCTATAAATTAAAAAAACAGTAAAAGTCCAGGATCACAATTTGGCTCGATAATACAGTCCAAGGTCAGCGCTGGTAAACACATACAGCCAGGAGATCCACACTCAAGAGGTCAGAGAGGAGATATCAGAGGGTCGGTACACTGCAGGCAATCAGAATCTGGGGGACATAAGGCAAAACACGGTGGTCAAAACAACAATCTGGGGTCAGAACTAGGGAGTCAGGCACAAGAATAAATGCTGGAAAGTCAGAGCTGGGGTCTAGAACAATCTGGCAGCTTTCCGGTGGGGAAAAACTGCTTTTAATGGGGCGAAAACAGGTGTACAGGTGCTGGTCATATAATTAGAATATCATCAAAAAGTTGATTTATTTCACTAATTCCATTCAAAAAGTGAAACTTGTATATTATATCCATTCATTACACACAGACTGATATATTTCAAATGTTTATTTCTTTTAATTTTGATGATTATAACTGACAACCAATGAAAACCCCAAATTCGGTATCTCAGAAAATTAGAATATTGTGAAAAGGTTCAATATTGAAGACACCTGGTGCCACACTCTAATCAGCTATTTGACTCAAAACACCTGCAAAGGCCTTTAAATGGTGTCTCAGTCTAGTTCTGTAGGCTACACAATCATGGGGAAGACTGCTGACCTGACAGTTGTCCAAAAGACTCCTTAAGCCAGGTACTGGTAGCTTTGGCACTGTGTGCAGGTGCCAAGTCCTGTTGGAAAATGAAATCTGCATCTCCATAAAGTTGGTCAGCAGCAGGAAGCATGGAGTGCTCTAAAACTTCCTGGTATACGGCTGCATTGACCTTGGACCTCAGAAAACACAGTGGCCCAACACCAGCAGATGACATGGCACCCCAAACCATCACTGACTGTGGAAACTTTACACTGGACCTCAAGCAACGTGGATTCTGTGCCTCTCCTCTCTTCCTCCAGACTCTGGGACCCTGATTTCCAAAGGTAATGCAAAATTTACTTTCATCAGAGAACATGACTTTGGACCACTCAGCAGCAGTCCAGTCCTTTTTGTCTTTAGCCCAGGTGAGACGCTTCTGACGCTGTCTGTTGTTCAAGAGTGGCTTGACACAAGGAATGCGACAGCTGAAACCCATGTCTTTCATACGTCTGTGCGTAGTGGTTCTGGAAGCACTGACTCCAGCTGCAGTCCACTCTTTGTGAATCTCCCCCACATTTTTGAATCGGTTTTGTTTCACAATCCTCTCCAGGGTGCGGTTATCCCTTTTGCTTGTACACTTTTTTCTACCACATCTTTTCCTTCCCTTCGCCTCTCTATTAATGTGCTTGGACACAGAGCTCTGTGAACAGCCAGCCTCTTCTGCAATGACCTTTTGTGTCTTGCCCTCCTTGTGCAAGGTGTCAATGGTGGTCTTTTGGACAACTGTCAGGTCAGCAGTCTTCCCCATGATTGTGTAGCCTACAGAACTAGACTGAGACACCATTTAAAGGCCTTTGCAGGTGTTTTGAGTCAAATAGCTGATTAGAGTGTGGCACCAGGTGTCTTCAATATTGAACCTTTTCACAATATTCTAATTTTCTGAGATACCGAATTTGGGGTTTTCATTGGTTGTCAGTTATAATCATCAAAATTAAAAGAAATAAACATTTGAAATATATCAGTCTGTGTGTAATGAATGGATATAATATACAAGTTTCACTTTTTGAATGGAATTAATGAAATAAATCAACTTTTTGATGATATTCTAATTTTATGACCAGCACCTGTAAACAATGAGTGTTGATTAAGGTGAAAAGTCTGTAGCTATGATATGGCTTAAAACAGGAAGTTAACAAAATAAAAGCATGAGACCGGAAACAGGCGGGACAGAATCATGACACAGAGGTACTGTATATTTATAAAGTACTGCATTGAGGGCTGTTCTGTCATACAGTCATGGGTCCAGTGTTCATCAGGGTGGTGGTACAGGGGAAGAAGAAACTGATCCTGTGTCTGGTAGTTTTAGTATACAGTGTCAAGAGCGGAGGGGTCTAAGCAGTTTGTGTCCAGGGTGTGAGGGGTCTGCAGAATTCTCCTCTGCCCTCCTCTTCACCCGTGCGGTGCACAGGTCCTCCATGGAGGGCAAGCTGGCTCCAATGATTCTTTCTGAAGTCCTGACTGCCTGTTGGAGTCTGTTCCTGTCCTGCTGGTTTCTAAACCAAACCAAACAAAACAGTGTTGGAAGTGCAGAGAACAGACTTGATGATTCCTTGGTAGAACTGTATCAGCAGCTCCTGACACAGGTGACACTTCCTGAGTTGGCACAGGAAGTACAGCCTCTGCAGTGCCTTTTTGGTGATGGTTGAACATCCACTTCAGGTCCTGAGAGAATATGGAGTCCAGAAATTTTAAGGTCTCCACTGCTGATACAGTGCTGCTGAGTATGGTTGGGGGAGCTCTTCCAGAAGTTCAATGTCATCTCCACTGTTCTGAGTGTGTTCAGTTCCAGGTTGTTGCAACCACACCACAGAGCCAGCCGTTCAACTTCCTCATACCGGAAAATCAGACCGGAGTTTCACCAGTCACATCAAGGCCATAACTAAATCAGCTGTTTTATATTTAAAGAACCTCATTCATGCCTTCATCTCCAGCAGGCTGGGCTATTGTAATTGTCTTTTGCTGCTCTTCTCAAAAAGAGTGTTAGACAACTTCAGTTCATTCAGAATGCTGCTGCCAGAGTTTTAACAAGAACCAGGAGAATGGAGCACATCATTCCTTAAATTCTTACACTGCCAACAGTTACTTACAGAATTGATTTTAAAGTGCTTCTGCTAGTTTTAAAATCATTCAGTGGTATGGGGCCAAAATACATTTCTGATCTCAACTGAAAACTGCTGTTTTCCTGTGCCTTTAATGCCTGTTTTCTTGTTATGGTTGTGTGCTCACTCACCGGGGTGAGGTGAGGAAGCAGGCTGGACTCAGTGGGCAGATACA